CCTCACCAAGTCCCCCCCCACACCCCACTATAGTCACTGTCCATCAGTGTAGCAAGATGCTGTATAATCACCACCTGTCTTCTCTGTGTTGTACACCCCTCCCTGTGCCCCCCCACAACACTATACATGCTAATCGTAAGCCTTTTTTTTTTTAATTTGAAATATTGAATGTATGAAGGATAAAAAATTACTACAACAAACACCCTTATACCCATCAGGCAGTTGAAGAAATAAAACCTTTGGTAAACTAATCTAGAAGACATTTGTAAATCACTGTACATCTTCTCCCCTCCCTCCCTAATTCAGTAATTTTGAGCACCCAACTTAGTTCCTTTTTCCAGCTTTACCTTTTCTCCTAGTGTAAATCCTTGCTGTAATTGTCTCTGTGCATATTGGAATTAAGGAATAGTGAGTGGATTGAGATCTGGGACTGTCCCTTTGTAGGTGTATTCCCTATTTGGTGTTTCCTGCCTAGGACTCATACCCCTCCTATCTTCCTGCCCTTCTACCCAGGTCTCCCTCTAAGGACTGATTGAGAAAGTATGGTGTTCCATAGGCTCCTTTTATTCTTTTCTTAAATCCTTGCTTTCTACTCAACTTTTTGGGTTTTATTTTGGGAGTGGGTAGTAGTTTGGTTAAAGTAATGTTTCTTTACACTTGTGTTTTCCTTACGAAAAGTCTTTTCACACCAACATTATTTAGTCCTTTCAGTAATCTGAGAAATGGGGTAGGTCTGGTGTAATCATTTAGCAAATGACACAACAGAGGCACAGAGTGTGTGCTTTAAGGTCACACAACCAGATAGCGTTAGAGCCAAACCCAGAACTGTTGTGATTCCCAGCCCAAACTGCCCTGATTACTTCCCTTCCCTGCCATTCCATTGGTGTTTAGAAGGTAGGAGTAGAATGAAAAGTTTATGAATTCTCCACACAGGTCCTCATGGTCATCAGGTGATTCTGGCTTTTCCTTCACATTTTCTTATTGAAATGATACAGAGCATTAGGTACCTGCGACAGACATTCTGAGACTCACCCTACAGAAGATGAGTCAAGACCCCACGATACCTTCAGTCCTTTTTCCTTTCAGACAAGTAAGCAGTTGGCGGCAGCATTCCAAGAGGAGTTCACTGTGCGAGAGGACTTGATGGGACTGGCAATTGGGACTCACGGTGCCAACATCCAACAGGCCCGAAAAGTACCTGGGGTGACCGCCATTGAGCTGGGTGAAGAAACCTGCACTTTCCGCATCTACGGGGAGGTCAGCAAAAGATAGCTGTCACTGTTCAGGTCCCTTATGGGCTAAAGAGGATAGGGTGAAGTAGAAAGGAAACCTGTCATGTTGACCTGCCTCTCTAACTTTGATGGCTGCACATTTTCCAAAAGAGACAGTGGCAGAAAGATTGTTGTTTGAGATTCAGGTACTCTGTTTTAGTGACAACTCACCCCTCTTATCTTAGACTCCTGAGGCATGCCGACAGGCCCGAAGCTACCTTGAGTTTTCTGAGGACTCTGTGCAAGTGCCCAGGAACCTGGTTGGTGAGTTGGGGCTGTGTATGTGTAAAAGAATATACTTGGGGGGCAGGTGTGAGATTATCTAAAGTGAATATGGGCTTGGTACCTCCCTTTGGACTTCCAGTTTTACAAGGATGGAGCAAACAGTGGAAGAACAGCTTTCTGGGGCTTGTAGTTTTGTCCTATGAAAACTCACCAGAAACTTAACAATCAGAGAATAATTAAGCAGAATCCGTGTAGATTTATCTTAATCTGTTTTTAGTCTTTTTTTCTTCTTTCCTTAAAAAAGAAAAAAAGACCTCTAATTCCTCTTTTACCCTTCAGGCAAAGTGATTGGAAAGAATGGGAAAGTGATCCAGGAGATTGTGGATAAATCTGGTGTGGTGAGGGTTCGAGTGGAAGGTGATAATGACAAGAAGAACCCCAGGGAGGAGGTATGGGGCAACTGCACCTAGAAATTGTTTCCAGAAGTAGGTGGGATTATTTGCAAAGCCATTCTCTGATAGCTGGGATCTCTAGGGCGGAGCATGGGAATGTTTTCCCCGTAGTAGACGTCAGCCCAGAAAGATCCTGTTGGGTGGGCTTCCATAGGAGATAGCACAGTTAATACTTCCATTTGACTCTTCTAACATCTGTCCTTCCCATCCTCTCCAGGGAATGGTTCCCTTCATATTTGTTGGCACTCGAGAGAATATCAGCAATGCTCAGGCTCTGCTGGAGTATCATCTCGCCTACCTGCAGGTACCCAAGCTGGAACCCTGGGAGAGGAAGGCTCTGGGTATGGCATGGGGACTGAGACAGCCAGTGGGTGAAGTTAGGAATTGTACCCAGTTTGTTTCTCTGAGAAAACAGAAACCATTGGGTGGAAATTTGGGGCTGTGGGGTTGAATCTCAGAATCTTCCTTGTTTAGCCAGCGCCCTCCTTACATTACTGAGAGTTCAAATAGGTAGCGGGGTCAGGATGGAGAAAGGTGGAGGAGGGGAGACTGTTCATTGATCTTACTCCTCCTGTTTCTTCCTCCATCTTCTGCCCAACCAGGAGGTGGAGCAGCTTCGCTTGGAGAGGCTGCAAATTGATGAACAACTTCGGCAGATTGGGCTGGGCTTTCGCCCTCCTGGGAGTGGGCGGGGCAGCGGCGGCAGTGACAAGGCTGGATATACCACTGATGAGAGCTCTTCCTCCTCCCTCCACACCACACGAACTTATGGGGGCAGCTATGGGGGCCGGGGCCGGGGCCGGAGGACGGGCGGTCCTGCCTATGGTGAGAGTTGTGGGAGAGGGAGGTGAGCCGGGTGGAGTTTATGAGGAGAGGCAGAGGTCTGGGTGGAAGCTTGAGGGAGATGGTGAAGAGGTGACTGGCTGGGAGACTTCGGAGTGAGAACGAGGAGTTGCCCGTTTGTGGGTTGGGGTGGAACCTGGGGTGGGGTGAGGTGAGTGATCCTGATTGAACCCCACTGTGTCTTTCAGGCCCCAATTCAGACCCTTCCACAGCTTCTGAGACGGAGTCAGAGAAGAGAGAGGAACCCAGCCGAGCTGGGCCGAGTGACCGGGATCCCCCAACTCGGGGGGAAGAAAGTCGGAGGCGGCCAATTGGGGGCCGGGGTAGGGGACCCCCACCTGCTCCCCGGTCCACCTCAAGATACAGCTCTTCTTCTATTAGCTCAGGTACCAGTATCAGACAACTGGGATAATGAATGTAAGCAAAAAGGAAAGATGATGGACACCTGACTCCCAATTCCTCTTCCCCTAACCAGTACTGAAAGATCCAGACAGTAATCCCTACAGCCTACTGGACACATCTGAACCAGAGCCCCCAGTTGATTCAGAGCCTGGGGAACCTCCCCCAGCAAGTGCCAGGCGCCGCCGCTCCCGCCGGCGCCGCACTGATGAAGACAGGACTGTCATGGATGGAGGCCTGGAATCTGATGGGCCCAGCATGACAGAAAATGGCCTGGGTAAGGGGTATGCCTGGAGTTTAAAAAGTTAGGCCGCAGCAAGATTAGAGGAGTGGAAGATTGGATGCACTATTCTTTTTTCCCTGCCCCACAGAAGATGAGTCAAGACCTCAGCGTCGTAATCGGAGCCGCCGCCGCCGTAACCGTGGTCACCGGACTGATGGTTCTGTCAGTGGAGACCGTCAGCCAGGTCAGCTAATAGTGGATGCCAGCCTCCTTCCTCAGCTGAGAGAATGGGATGCTTCCTACCCTGTGAAAACCAGGGCTTGGGATTCAGTAGGCATTTAGGGGCTGGATTACCTGGGTTCCTTCTGAAACTCTTGATCCTCTGCCTTCCTAGTGACTGTGGCCGACTATATCTCCAGAGCAGAGTCTCAGAGCCGCCAACAGCCTCCCCTGGAACGCACTAAACCCTCAGAGGACTCTCTTTCAGGACAGAAGGTAGGCAGGCAAGATGCAGTTTACTCCACCTTGTTTTTTGTTGTTTTTCTGGGGCAAGGGGCACCAGAAAATTCCCAAAGAAATAAAGAAGTCTGTGTCTGATGGAGTTCAGACTGCATCTAGAATAGTGGAAAGTTCGAACAGAAGAGAGAGGACATTTGGTTCATATTTTCTGGATACCATTAAGAGTGACTATAGAGTCAGATCAGGGTCACCAGATGCCAGGAGCCCTTGGATAGTAGGGAATGTCATTAACCTGAGTTCTGACTGCTTTTCTTCCTCTCCATTTTCTTTTCCACTTCTTCCTCAGGATGACTCTGTCAGCAAGCTTCCTAAGGGCCCCTCAGAGAACGGGGAGCTCTCTGCCCCCCTGGAGTTGGGTAGTTTGGTGAATGGGGTTTCATAAAACCTCCAACCCGCATCCCTTCCTTCTCCATCTCGCTTGCTGCCCAACACCATGGCCCTCACAGGCCCGACTGACCTGCGCTGGAGCTGCTCTTATCTAGGGGGTGGGGGGTGGCACAGCAGCTTGGGTCCCCCCTCAACCTCCAGGAGTTAGTGGAGGGGTGTGTAACAGGGTCATACCCCCCTCCCTCTTGTCCACCCTACCCCCAGGGTGAGGGGAGCCACTCTCCTTCCCCTTCAGACTTGGATGTGCCTTTATCCTCTAATGCCCCAATCTCTCTGAACACCCCCATTCTCCACCTGTTGGTGCGGGGTGCTCGTTGACCCACTCAGATTTGACAGTTCAGGGGGGCTCCCCTGCTATCCCTCCTCCCATCCTGTACTGCCCATTTCTGGGGCCTCATCACTGTGGAAGACGGGGATAGTAAGGGTATAGTGGGTGGGAGGCATGGGGAAGGTTTTGGAGTAGAACCAGGGGTGTGTATGAAGGGGGGTGACAAGGTCCCCCAGGGTAGGGGCAACCAACCTTGTCTGGTGGATGAGAAGGCGTATTTATTTTTCACTGTACAGTATTTAAAAAGAGAATAAAAAAATCCAAATGGCTTTCTGGTTCCTGTGCCTTCCTTGTGCCCAGTTTGGTCCATCTGCTTCTCTAGGACTGACCTGCCCTGGCCCCTTGGCCCTTGTTTCCTGTTTCTCCACACTTGTCTTCACTAATGCTCCACAAAGATGGTCTAGGAATTCCTGACATTCCTAAGTTCCCAAGGCCCAGATACCCTCCTAGGCCAGAAGAGAGGGGCTGGTGTTTTGCTGCTCCTCCCCTCCCCCAGGTTTGCTGGTAGAGGGAGCTGAGCCACTCCTATACCCTGAGTCACATAGGGCTAGGTAGGGCTGCTTGAAGCTGGAGCTGTCCCTGCTGAGAGCCAAGGCCGGCTGTTTAATCCGATTACTTGAGGCCTGGGGCTTGGGCTGGGCTTTGGGCAGAGTGGTGAGCAGGGTTCCCTCTTGACAGCCTCTGGGACCTAGGTGTCTAGCCCCCATTCCTGCTGTGGTTCTATTCTCTAGATCCAGGCTTTTCCTCCAGCATCTACATCACTGATTTCTGAGCCCTGGGGAGTTGTCCTTGGCTCCCTGCTTCCAGACAGGTTTGGAAGTAAAATGTGTGGTGGAGAGACTTAGGTTTGGGGGCTGGAGCTGGGAGGGTTTAAGTGTTCTCACCTGGAGAGGGGTTGAATCACCACCCAAACACCTGCTGGGATGACTCAGAAAACAAAAATGGCTTGCCTTCCTCCACTTTTTGCCCCAAGGGCAGGTCAGGGATTTGAGGAGCAATAGGCAAAGGAAAAGGGTTTGGGGTGGGGGGTAGAGTTTCCCAAGATCCTCCTAGTGCAACTCTGACCCTGAGGGCTTTTGATCCCCTGGTACTTGAACCTTTTATGCAAAGGAATTGACTTTAAATTACCATAGTTTAAGAAGGGAGGAAAAGACGTTCGGAGCTCTTGGAGCTGGAAGGCCTGACCTCGGTCTTGGATGGGAGGGGCGTGGTGCCCTGAGGGGAGTGTTGGGGGCTGGGAAGAACAGGACACCTGGGTTTGCCTAAGGAAGGGGGTTGTTGGCACCCTTAAGGAGGCGCGGTCTTCTGGGAGGGAGTGGGGAGGAGTTAGTTCCTAAAGGCTGTTCCCGAGTCCGGCCCACCATCCAGCCACAGACGCCGAGGCTGGGTGAGGGCCATAGCACCTGGGCTGTGTGGCCCGGCAGCTGAAGAAATCCAGAGACAGAGCTTGAAGGTTTGCTTCCTCCGCCGAAGGCCAGGCCCGGGGCCAGCAGCGGGTAGGAGGCTCAGGCGTGGATCGGGGGCCTCGTGGTGGCAAGGGAAAGAGCACAGCCTGTCCCAGTACAGGGTACCAGCCAGGATTTTGCTGAGGACTCTCCAAAGTGCTGGATTGGCAGGAAGCAGGGGCTCCATTATAAAGACTCTGGATTTGGGGGCGATATATGCTTTTTAAGGACACAAGTTGTCTGGAACGACTCCGGGCTAGTCAGACCCTTCCATTTTGAGGACAGCAGGTTTGGGTATCAACGTTTGGAGTGGGAGGGCTTGTAGGACGCCTTCTTACTGCTTCCCTCCCATACCCCCATGGCGCTCCCCGGCTCCTTCCCACAGAACCAGGCCTGGAGCCTGGAGCTTCCCGCTCTCACGGTCCCTACTTCCTCGTCCTCGGGCTCCCAGGAGCGCGAGGGCCCTGGGAGCCCAGGGGTCTCCGGAGGGCTTCCCCTGGAGAAGGTAAAGCGGCCCATGAACGCGTTCATGGTGTGGAGCTCCGCTCAGCGCCGCCAGATGGCGCAGCAGAACCCAAAGATGCACAACTCGGAGATCTCCAAGCGCCTGGGCGCCCAGTGGAAGCTGCTGGGCGAGGACGAGAAGCGGCCCTTCGTGGAAGAAGCCAAGCGGCTCCGGGCCCGGCACCTGCGGGACTACCCCGACTATAAGTACCGGCCTCGCCGCAAGACCAAGAGCTCGGGCGCCGGGCTGCCGCATTTCAGCCAGGGAGTCGGCGGCGTGGCCGGCAGCGGGCCGGTCTGGGGGCCTGGATACGCGACCACTCAGGGTAACAGAGGCTTTGGGTACCAGCCCCCCAATTACTCGACAGCTTACCTGCCTGGCGGTTACGGGTGAGTGTATGCGGAGAGGGGCGAGGAAGGAGGTGCTTGGGCCCCTTTCTGGGGCGACTACCAGAGTTTGTGGGCTACGTCTGAGGTCTGGCGAGGGGAAGGCGGGGGTGGCGGCATCATTCTGCAGTGCCCCATGAAAGGTGGGGTGGGAGAGTTCCAGTGGCCCAGAAATTTTCTAGACAACTTTCCCATCCTGGCCTGCAGTGGCGACCCTACAGGAACAGCACGGTGTCTAAATGTGACCGTGTTCCAGTTACCAGAATTTCCCGTTTCCCCCCGGCTCTGGCCCTCGTGTGACCCGGCTTCCTCTCCCAGTCCTCGGGGCAAGGAGAGGCCGAGCCCAGCTCTGCCCCTTCCTGGCCAACCGCCCCAAAAGGGAAAACAGGCGCGCAGCACGCAAGCCCGCTCTTAGCGTGCCCTGACACGGCTGTGTTTCTAAGTCATCCCAGGGTTCGATTCCTGACCTGTGGTACCCAGTGGGACTCGGATAATTAGGTGTGGGTAAATGGACAAATTCATCTCTAACTGCCCAGAACTGATCAGGCCTACCCCCACACGGGTGTGGAGACCCTGCTCCTCCAAGCTGGGGAAATGCCTTCTCATCCTGATATTTCTCTTCACAGCTCTTCCCACTGTAAACCGGAGGCCTCCTCACCGTGCTCCCTCCCTCAGAATAACCCTAGGCTTCAGGGTGATCTGCTTCCTATCTACAGCCCCTACCTACCTGCAGGCTCTCCCACCCCCTACAATCCTTCACTTTCAGGAGCCCCCATGCCCCTAACCCACCTCTAACCCTATGGACACAGACCTCCCTGGAAATGCTCCAGCCTCCTTTTCACCCAGGAAACCCACCCATTTATCCCGTGCCCAGGCTGCTGCAAACCCTTCTTTAGAACTGGTGGATCACCTGCAGTCTCCCACCCGCCCCTTACTCCTGCAACAACTTTTTTGTAGGACAAACACAGTTTTGTACGGCGAAACCATGTGTCTCTGAGTCTTTATTGCCCCATCTGTTCCCCCTCACTGGAGCAAGAATCTGTGCGGTCTCCACTCCCTTCCGCTTGGACCTGCCAGTGCAGGAACCTCCTCACCCCACCCTGGGGCCCTGCCTGAGTCATTCTCAGTGCCCCCTTTCTCCCAGCACTGGGGTCCAGGAGACAGCCCCAGCCAGGATGGGGGAGGGAGGTGGCCACAAGCTCCTAGGTCCCATTCCACTGTCCAGTCTCTGTCCTCTAGGGCCAGAAGGGAAGTAAGGAGATGGGAGGACAGGGTAAGACTTTTGCCCAGAATAGGTAAGTTGCTGGAAATTGCTGTTAACAGAAATCTCAGCCACGTGATACAATGAGTTAAGAGCACATGCACAAGACAGTACAAAATAAGTGTCAAAATGTCAACCTGAAAATCTTTACCCCAACTAAAGATCATAGGGAAAAAAAAAACCCTGGCTCAAGTTGAAATTGCAGAGGAATGGCGGTGGGGTGATTAAAAGTCACACCAGCTCACTGGTTCAGGTGGGGAGGACCCTGAGGGGGAATAAAGGGAAACATGGAATGGACTCCAGCAGCTGGCTCAATCCTACTGCTCTTTTTCCTTCTTGTGAGTAGCCCCTGCATTCCAGTAGAAAAGGAGCTGGGCAGCAATGAGGCCGTTGCACAGGGAAGAAACCACAAAGGTTCCAGCCATGAGAGGGTCTCCTGTTTCCTGGGTGTGAGAAGCAGGGCTAGGGTCATTCTTCAGCACTGCCAAAAAAGGTTCCAGACCCCTTAGCTCAGTCCAGGGCAGGCAGGTAAGATTACTGCCCTCTAGAGGGCAGAAGGTGCACTCACCTGAATGGAAGTGAAGATCCGGGCCAGGGAACCCCCAAAGAGCAGAAAGACTGTGATGGCTGAGAGCTGACCTGTGTGCCCATTTCGGTAGTTGGTGGCTGCCTGTAGCAGCTAGGAGAGAAGTTGAGACCCTTCGTTCTGTTCGTCATCTGAATCACAGGCTTCCCCGTTCCTTCAGTCCAACACCCCCACACTTTGGGCCTCCACTCTGCCCCTCACCAGTCCCCACTCCCAACTTCATTTCCCTTGCTGCCCACTACTCACCCTCCCCACCACTACGGCAGGCACGTTGGAGGCCTGGAGCAGGGTGACTGCTGCTGGGGGTGTCAGTGGTAACAGCAGCACCAGCAGGACCACAGCATAGCATACTAGGAAAGCAACACCTGGAGTCAGGGAGACAAGGAATCTTCAGCCTCTGGAGTCCTCAGCTTCCCCAGCAGCTCTCCCAAGAACTGCAGCCTGCACTTGGGTAAATCAAATCCCCAGCACCTTTCACAGTCTGTCCTCGGAAGTGCAAGACCAGGAAGCAGATGGTGACTGTCTGGAGCATCAGGAACAGGGCTTCACCCCAAGAGCTGCAGAGTCAAGAGTAGGAAGAAAGAAAGGCAGGCCTGGAAAGAGGCAGGGAAAGCCTCCATAGCCCGTCCGTTTTGGGGACTTGATTCTCTGATCATTCCTGTCCTGCTGACTCCTTACATCCTGCCTCCCAGCAGATTCCTCCTGACTTAGTCTCCACCCTGCATTCTTGGGATGTTAACCTCCTCTCATCAGTTCCAGAGATGACTAGATTTCTGGAAGGGCTTAAGCTTTCCTACACTTTGACTTCCCTTACCCTGACCCTCACTAGAGTTGTGAGCACATACACCTGGGGAAAAGAGCAGGCCCCCTCACCTGAATGGGAAGTTGTTGGTGATGCTGTAGACCATGGTTCCAGTTAATGCCACCAGCTCTAGTATCACCGACTGGAGACTCAACCCTTCAGCACTCTGGGCTCCCAGGATTTTAAACACCTGGGGCAGTTTTACTGGAGAAAAGATGAGACGACAGAGTTAAGGAACTGGCATCCCTTGGGAACATACCTCAACAGCAATGGCACAGACTGAGAAGCATGTTAATTCCACTTCTGGTAAAGGGACCCATCCTGCTTATGGCATCTTAGCACTCCACCCCCATCTCAACAGCAGGAAAGGAATATAAGATACATACCCAGAAGGGAGCCAGCCACAATGCCCAGCCCCAGGACTTTGCTGAGGAGAATCTTGAGGCAGGGGACTGCAAAGAGAAAAAGGAGTAAGCTGAGACGAGACCTCTAAAACACACACGCAAAGGCTTTCAGGAGGCAGCCCAGGCCTAAAGGCTTGATGTGTTCCTACGGGCTGCCACTACTCCTGAACACCTTGACATATTCACACAAGAAAGAAAGCCTTGGATTGAGTGGGGCCAGGTGAAAAAGGCCTAGTCCATCCTTCCTGCTCTAAATCATATCACATACAGACCAGATGACTTACTAAAACAGTTTTTACCAAAAAACTTTTCATTCTATTCATTCTTTCCAAACTAGCATATTATATCAGAACTTTCTAATCTTGAGTTCCAAGGCACAGTAGAGTACCATGAACTAACCGGCAAATTATATCTTAGGTAGGCTTTACTATGGAATTGCTTCGTGGCTAGGAAGGCAGTCAACTTACTCCTAAATTAGACCATGAACAAACATGGAAACTGGAAGAGCCACTGAAATTGTAGTAGGAGTCTTCGGGGACACCGCTCAGGGCCTAGATTCATAAGGTGCTTTGAATCAAGTGTAACCTTGCTCCTGAAGTATTATCGATTAAAGGTTGTAACGACTTGGTCAGATTGTAATTTTGTCTTGTAAAATTTGAGTCTTTAAATCGTTGTCCCTTAAAGCATGAACCTTACAAAGCTCTTCCTACCGGCGACTCCACGCCTCTTGCCCAAATATGGCGTCCTTCCCCTACGGAGCGCGAGACACTTCCGTCCCTCACAAGTGACTTCCACCCAGCGCGGCGTGGCAACAGTCGCCGCCGTCCTTAGTCCGCAGCCACACCCCACTTATGGCCCAAGAACGCTCGAGCGTAACTTTGTTTGGAAGCTGATAAAACTCACCGTGAAGCAAGTCCCATTGGATGAAAATTTGGTCGTAGCATTTCTCAGGTAATAGAGTCGGCACCAGTACTCGCCTCAGCGGCCCGTCTGCCTCGGCCACCATATTGCGAAGGTAGTTTACGCCAGTCGCTCCAAGCCGCCATTGATTCTGCGCATGCGCGTCCTGAACGCTCCGCCCCTTTTCTTCCCGCGACTACGCTGGAGTGCCCCCCGTTCTCCGCTTTTTCTTACGCAACCCCACCTTTGGTCTCGTGAAATAGGTCTCGTTTAAAGACCGTGTTCTGGACGCATCCTCCCTGCTGTTCGAATATTAAAGCTTGCCAATCCTGAACGCCTGCGCAGTTCCATTCTTCGCGCCTTTGTTATGCTTCCAGTTGGCAAGCAAGATTTATGCTTTCCGTCTCCGCTCCTTTGCTCGGCGCCATCTTGTCTTCTCGCAGCTGACTTTTCGTGATTCGAAGTTGAGAGAGAAGTAGCGTGTCACCAAAATGGCGTTGGATGGAGGCACTGTAGCTGTTTATCTCCTGTTCTCTCGGCGTTTCCAGGCGCGAGGCCTCTGCCTCTCCCTCCTCTGGTTCACCCCCGCCTTGGCGAATGGGTGTACCAGCAGCTACTGGGCCGGGACGGTGAAGCTGAAAAGCAGGATGTAGGGAAGACTTGTCCAGTTTTGGGGGGTAGGCAGCGCCCTGTTAGGCCCAACCCTGGCAGCGTCCCTGCTGCCTAGGGCTCGCTCCGTGTTTCCCAACCGCTCCACTCGCCCTAGGGCACCACTGGGCCAACACCTGCTCCTTCACCTTCTGTGACCATATGCTGAGCAAGGACTCAAGCAAGGCTGAGTGGGCCCAGCAGCCCCTCTTGGTAAAGAGCACCTTGGACTACCCTGCGGGAGCAATACCCTGTGCCACCTGGCACCGGGACACCACCTCTTGGATATTTTGGTGGAGGTAGCCCTGGCCATCATCCTCTGGTGGCCGGGTGCCAGCCGCAAGTACCATGCTATCGAGCAGTCCTTGGGTGACTCCTGCACCACAGTTCAAGGTCATATGGGATGTTCGCAAGGTGGTAGTGGGGCCTCTGGGGGGCCCTGCTACGTGCAGGCTGCCCTCAATGGGGTAGCACTCCAGGACCCAGCGGCAGCTTTCTGTAGTCTTACAGGGCTTCTACAACTGGAAGGGCCTCATTCTGGTCCCCAGTGACTGCAAGCCCTCTGTAAATGGGGATACTGGCACTCAGTGGTTGTGCTGGCCCTGCCCAGAATCTGGACGCAGGCTGCCCTGGGTGTGCCCTCACTGTCACTAGGTGAATTGGGGAACATCAGGGTTGGCTTGGCAGGTGGTGCAGGCTGGAGACATTGTGTTCCCAGGAGCACAGAGGGTAAGTGTTAAGTGGCGGTCAGAGTACCCACTGCTCCCGTGGTTGATGAAACCTTTTGCAGGTGAAATAGCGTCCCAGATAGCAGCAAGTGTTAGATCAGGCAGTTCAGCTAGCCCTGGACGGGGGTTGACAGGTTATTCTTGTTGCTAAGCCACTGGTGCAGCCTTTTGAAATGAAATGGCAGATGTGACTTTCCCACACTCACTGCCCTTACTGTCTGCTTCACCTGTAATTGTTTATGAGGGTTGTGAAAAAGGCTGCTGGGATGGGTGCCTTCACTAAATTGCAGGGGGAGGGCCAACCTGAGCAACTAGGGTCCTCAGAAGAGGAAGCGAGGTGAGGCAGACTGAGCACCAGATGTGTCAGGCTTGAAGGGATGAACCCAGTGTGGTCACACATTGACATTATCATCCCTCCTCACCAGCTGGATCCCCGAGACTCAGCCATGGAAGGCACAGAAAGGCATGTGGCAAGAAATTCAGAGCTTTAAATTCTGGCAGAAAAGACAAGGAAAACCAAGGACAGATTTGAGTAGGTTTTACTATTCTCCCACTGGGGAGGGGGAAGGGGGAATCTGTCACATTAATAAACATATTTTCCCTCATTCTTCCTGATGGCATTATCTCTGCTTTCGTCTTTCAAGACAGAGAGGGAAGGAAGATAAACTTTGCCTTGGAGTCTCAGTTGAGTGATGAGAAGTGATGGTGCCCACTGGTGCCTTAGATTGTTGGAACAAATGCTCAGAGGGGTTGGTAGGTGGGTGGCCGTCTCCGGATGACGCAGAAGGTAACAAGCACCAGGGTGAGGAGGCCGAGAAGAATCAGGCCGATGATGAGAGGAAGCCAGATGAATTGGTCACTGGAACAAGAGAAACCTGGCGGAAGGGCAGGAAGTAGGCATCATAATGGTTGTGACTGGGATACAGGGGAGGAAGGAGGGGGGGAAACGGGAGACATTAGGAAGTAGGAGATTGATGAGCCCACTTAGATGACTCCGTGGTGAATGAAAGGACAGAATGGGCAGTCCTGTAGAGGAGGAGGACAGGTGTCCTACAGTTATGACAAGCCTGAGGGAGGAGATTTTGGGGTATAAGGAGGGAGGTTATGGGCCTGGAGCAGGGCTTTCAGTACAGTGCGAGAGTTGGAAGAAGAAATGGGTCTTACTTGGCCCAAAGGCCCCTGTGGGGAGCAGCTGAGTAGCTTGTAGCTTCAGGTAAAGCAGGTCGAGGTGGAAAGCTGGTGAAAGAACGATGCTTGCATTGCTGCAACTGAAGCTCTGACCCAGGGGGGCTTGAAGCTCTCGAAGGGATGAATTCTGAGCTGAGAACATCCACTCTGAAAGAGGAAGAGTCAGCTTCATATCCATGTCCCCACCCCCAAGCTTAGGTCTCTTCAGGATCCCAGACCTCTAGTGCATGTGATGAGAAAGGGAAGGTTACTCACCTGCTGCCTGTGGGAAGGACACGTTGTACTGGACAGCCATGTAGTTCAGGTAGACAGTGCTCTGTGGTGGCTCCTGGGGAGGTGACCAGGAAGGCTCAGGGCAGCAGGAGAGAGTAACATACGTGTGCACAGAGTAAGGAGCAAAATGAGGGATTGATCAGGGATCAGGCACTTGGAGGGTGAGAGTGAGGGTTCAGGGGGAAGTACCTGCTTGAATCCCAAGCTGAGCTGCCCGAAGGGGAATAAGAGGAGCACGCGGGGATGGGCACCCTCACAGCCCCCGTGGGCCTTGGTTTTGTTGGGGTTTAGTACAGAGATGCCCCAGGCCTGCAGAAGTTAAAGATGAGAGGGGTCACGAGACTACCCAGCTGTGCCACCCACGATTCCATTCCCTGCATCCCCCCAGTTTGTCTCCTCTACTCTTCCTTCCTCCCTCAGGGCCATAGCAGGCCTCGCCCACTTCCCGTCATGTCCTCCACCGTCTTCTGGCTTTACCTTCCCTCCACCCTCGGTTGGGTACAGAACTCGAATCTGAATCTGGGCTTGGAGCCGGATGCAGGGCTGGGAACCATTAGTCCACGTGTAGTCTCCTATAGCCCCCTTAGAGCCTGGGCTAGGGCTTGGGGAGGGTGGAGATGGTCCTGGGTGGGGAGAAGTGGTGGTGGGGCCTGTGCTGGTGGTGGTGCTGTTGGTAGTTGGATGAACTGTGGCATTTCTGTGTTTGGTGGTAGCAGGATTCTGAGTGGCTGTTGTGGGCTCATGGCTTGTGGTGGCTGTGGCGGTGCTGTGGCTCTTGCTAGTTCTGTGGCTGGTTGTTCCAGGGCTGCTTGTACTTTCTGCAGCTGTAGGTGTCACCGTGAAAGATGGCAGCAGGGTGGCCGATTTTTTATGAGGACAATCATTCCCAGTCTCTTGGGCTTATAGCAGAGGAAAGGCCAGTTAGCAATCCATGGGCAGGCTCCCTCCCACCTCACCTGTCCTTTCTCCTTACCTGCCAGTAGCCCCAGCAAGGCCACTGAGAAGAGCACAGCCAGCCTCATGACAGAACAGCCTCACTCGGGAGTCCAGCTCGCTCAATAATCTCTACACTCTTTTGGAAAGGAGGAAATAAGTCTTAACTTCCTGTAACACCCCCACCCTGACTCAGGCACCTCAGCCCCTGCCTCGAACCTTAGTCATTAAATCAGGACACTTGGCCCCAGTGTAAGTGGGAGCTGTCAGAGCCAAGAATGTGTGGCTACAATGATGTCTGGACATGATCCTTGGGGGCACGGTTACTTCAGCAATATGCTCCAGTTGTGACTACAGAACCAGTGAACAGCCCCCTCCCTCACTAGTCTCAAAAAATTACTAAGTTCTATTTCCACACCCTTTCCCCTTTTATCACTTCCTCTCGGATGAGACATGTGAGATGCTTATTATGCTGCAGCCTGCCCAACCCCTTCAGGTCACATGTCGTGACCATCCCTGGCCAACTAGTGGTTAACAAAAACTCAGCACAAAAAGTAAATATTAGCTGAAGTAGGGAAGGCGAGAAGTACCAAATAGTGGTGGCAGAGAAGAAATGAAGCCCAAACAGGCAGTTTCCAAGTCATTTTATTCAGAATTTTGTGTTTTGTTTCCTGAATCAATAAATACTATACAAAACAATGTAAAAATGGCTACCATTTTTTCTCCCCTGCTCCCCCCACCTGGGAACAATCCCCTGGGCCACGTTAACTGAGGGGTTCTCCCTCCAGATTTGGTCCAGCAAATGAGGTTGAGTGACATAGCCTCTTGAGAATCGTTTTCAGAGGAATCCAGCTGGGGTGGGGAGAGCCTCTGGGACTTGGAGGCTGACTAGGTTAGGGAAATGGATTAGTGTTTTTGGGAGAAGAGACGGCGCCAGGGGCAAGAGCCTACCCCAAAGAAAAGGGTGTCTAAAATGTTCACGGTTCCTTCTTTTTGCCTCAAAAAGTGACATTTATTCAAAGAAAAAAAAAAATGACAAGATGTCCATCCCTTGGCTCCCTTCCCTCCCCCCTCCTGCTGTTCCTCCTCAGACCCCCACCCCAAGGATTGAATCCTGGCTGGGGCTAGGTAGCAGGACCACCCCTCTTAGATGAGGTCAGCAACATTGAGGGGCATCTCCTCAATGGAGGTGTTGTAGAAGGTCTCAATGTCTCGAAGAGTTCTCTTATCTTCTTCTGTCACCATGTTAATAGCCACACCCTTCCGGCCAAATCGTCCACCACGACCGATTCTACAAAACAACATCTTAGGTTAAGTGAGGAAATCAGAGGCTTCAGCCCAGGGATGGTTGGATGAAGATTCCAAATGTGCACTTACCTGTGGATATAGTTTTCCCTGTTGGTGGGAAGGTCATAATTGATGACTAAAGAAACCTGCTGCACATCAATGCCTCTGGCCTATGTCAAGAAAGATACAACTTCAGCATGTCAGTGAGAACAATCTATCCAGAAAGGAATCAAGTATACATGTAGGCAGCCAAGAGAAGCAAAGGAAACAAACATCCCCTTCTCCCACAAAATCTGTGGCATGCCAAATTTTATTCCAAGTTGCTACTTTCCTGAAGAAGGCACTAGCCAGCCCCTTGGAGAGGGAATCACCTTGGGTCCTCCCGTTTTCCTTCCCAGTCTTCATTCCCCTTTGCTTACCAGCAGGTCGGTGGTAATCAACACTCGGCTAGAGCCTGAGCGGAACTCCCTCATGATTACATCTCGTTCCTTTTGGTCCATATCACCATGCTAGAACAGCAACAGGAGAGTGTAACAGGTTGGAACATTACTTCTCAGAGAACTGGCTGTTAAAGTGGGGTGCTGACATAACATGTTGGTTTCAAAGGTGAGAAAACACACCATGGCAGAAACAGTGAAATCTCGGGCGTGCATCTTCTCAGTGAGCCAATCAACCTTCCTTCGAGTGTTGATGAAGATGACTGCCTGAGTGATGGTCAGGGTTTCATACAAGTCACACAGTGTGTCCAGCTTCCACTCCTGGGGGTGGGGGTAGGGGTGGGAGGGACAATCAGTCAGGGGCTATACCCAACAACTTGCCAGCAGGCCCGCCTCCTGCACTGGGCCCCACCTCTCGTTCCACATTGATGTAGAACTGGCGGATACCCTCCAGGGTCAACTCTTCCTTCTTGACAAGAATCCGAATGGGGTCCCTCATGAACTTTTTGGTCACTTCAAGCACATCAGAAGGCATTGTAGCTGACAGCAAAACCACCTAATGGGGAAAAAAAGAACATCTCATTGAGGATACTCCATGATGCCTGCCACCTTCCCCAATACCAAGGGAAACTGAAGCCAGTGCATAAAAAGGCTTGAGACTCCAGAATTCTTCATGGTTCCTCTGGCACTCCCTATTACTCCTCTATTACCCCAACCACACCGCAATCTATAAAGGAATCATCTGTAATCTATACAAGCAAGTCTCCGTCAATGAGTTTTCTCACCTGGGTATTACTATTGAGCTTTTGGAATATGTCGTAGATCTGGTCCTTGAATCCACGGCTTAACATTTCATCAGCTTCATCCAGTACAAACATCTTGATGTACTTGGGAGCTACAGGCAAAGAAAAAATCAAAACAGCAATTAGGGAAATATGAAATATACTTCCCCAATAAAGAAAATGAAAAAAAGGGACAGGTGTTCTGCTCTCAGAAGAGAGGGACTGATCCTTTGCCCAGAACCCCCTGCCAGGCCAAACAGCCCTGGGAAGTAGAACACTACCTGAGCTGAGACCACAGGAAGCCAGGCTCAGATGACACGCATGGGTTCATCACAGAGCAACTCTTTCAGAAGATAAAACTAGCATTATTAGGAGTGAGACTGGGACAGTTGAAAGACTAGGAAAAGCATACAGAAGAGGGACATGCCATAGGACTAGAAAAATCAAAGTACTCACAAAGGTATCTCCGGTTAAGCATATCAAACACACGACCTGGGGTACCCACGATGATATGGGGAGCTTCCATCTGCAGCTTCTGTACCTCAGCACGCACGTTGGTGCCCCCAATGCAAGCGTGGCAAGAGGCACCCATGTAGTCTCCTAATGCCATGACTACCTTCTGTATCTGAACCCAGAAGACAGAAAGTGCTCAAACATTAACTGCAACTTTGTCAGGCTCCATCTTAAGTACTCATGTTTCTACTCTTTCCAACAATTCTGATAAATACTATTAACTCATTTTTAAGGTGGGAAAAATCCAAATTAAGCCATTTAAGATCACACTGTCAGCTAAATGGCAGTCTCAAGATCTGAATTCGTCTGACTCCTAAGTATATACATTGTTTCACAGTAACTGCCCTCTGAAATAATATGGCTTACCTCTACAACTTTCCAGTAGTCTACCGTGACCCATTTATTTAATTTCACGACAACCAGTTTTATAAATGGAATTACATACACCCATGTCTTGGTACCCCCGCCACAAAACCAATGCTACCTGTTACGTTCTGAACTTGGAAGTGGATCATTAGGGTTTTATATGCTCCAGGCTTGAAAAAGCTCTAGCCACCAACCCAGGTATCAAGCTAAGATGAACAAGGACTGTGTCTTTAATTTGTCTCTGACTGATATAAGACCAACACCAGCCATCAGGTGTCTCCTCGCTCACTGCCAGGGGGTTTGTTCATAAAGAGCCTCCAAACCTGCACAACCAGCTAGGCTCCACCCATCAGCCTTCCCATTTGACTCAGGAAATGGGTGGAGGAAGTGATGCTTACTTATTGTGTTTGGGTGGAAAAAGGCTTATAATTAACGGAACAAGTCTTGAGAGATGTAGAAGTGATCAATTGGTTTCTTTAGATCACCTGCATTCTCCTACCCCACTCACCCCAGTACTTCCAAGGTGGTGATAGTGAGCTTATCACCTTTTTAGATTACGTGCTAATCATTTCTAAATAAATCCTTCAAGAAAGGAGAAAGCAGGTACACTCTTACCTGCTGAGCCAATTCTCTAGTGGGTGCCAGGACCAAGGCCTGGGTAGCCTTTAGATCCAATTCAATCTGTTGCAGAATTGATATGGCAAAAGTAGCTGTTTTCCCAGTCCCAGATTGGGCTTGAGCAATCACATCATAACCTTAACAGACAATCAAGAGAAAAATTCAGTATGGTAGAGAGCATACACCTTGGTATCATGGGACACTTAGGGCCCTGCTTAACAAGGTTAGTAAGCAACCAACAGAACTATATGCCACCCACGAAGTGCTTCAGACTTTACCTCATCACAACATACTACCCAAAGCCAGATCAGGTCATTAACTCATTTACTACTATACAAAGATGGAACAGAAATACAGCTGTAAATACCAAGTGTAGGAGACTAAAATACTACTACATCGAAATTAAAACAGCAATCCATGTGTCCAGGGCATGAACCAGGCACAGGCACAGACCAACAGCCAAGCTGGGATGAACAAGGAGTTGCTTTATCCCTGGCTGATACAAGACAAGCACCACCAACCAGGTGCCACTCTACCCAGGTCAGGGATATTACAGAACTTGCTCTGGGTAGAGGAGTCTTACCCTTGATACAAGGAAGAATGGCTCGCTGCTGTATGGCAGAGGGCTTCTCAAAACCATAGGCATAGATGCCACGGAGGAGGGACTCTGAGAGGTTCATGTCATCAAAGCTGTCCACAATCTCATTCCAGTTACTCTGTAGGATGCAAATAAATTCAAAGTAGTAGAAAAGGTGGACGGACATGCTCTAACACTGGACCAAGAGGACCTTGTGCCCACACCAGAGCTTAAGAGCTCACCACCTCTCCCCTCCAGGGAAGCCAGCAAGCTCTACATGGTCTGGGAAATGACTTATGGAGCTAGGCCACTTGTTAACTGTGAGGCAGGAAACTGTAGATGGGAGAACAGGGCTCAAATGGAATGACATGTTATACATACTCTCAGGGATATACAGTATTTTTAACACGTATTAAATATGAAGTCCGGGTTCTCGTCTGGGCCAGAACGTTAAGGGTACACTGGTAGTGGCACCGCTTCTCCCAGAACAGTGATTGTAGGGGTGCAATCTCACCTCGATGACGCCTTCAGGTTCCATTCCATCGGGGCCATTGTCTCTGGATCTGTTGGTTTAAAGTAGGAGTATGCCAACTGAGGCACGCTAGAAATCCTGACAACCGGGCTCTTCCTACCAGCAACCAGCCTTGCACTTATTTCATCAGTGTTCACTCCCTGACCCACCCCCCGCCAGTTCCCAGAAGGCAACGTAGTTACTTTACAACTGGGTCAGGCCTTTACCCCATTCCGGGAGCGGTTCAGGTCCGACAGTCGCCGCCCCCGACATGATGGAGTAACCATCATCTAAAACCCGGAGGCTGGCAGGACCGCGCCGCGCTTAAGGGAGTTGGAGATGGTGCTTGCCGCTAGGCCCTATTTCGGGCTTGGAACGGCCAGGCCCAAAAGCGAGTACTTCCCATCGAGGCCCCAGCACACCGGAAGTTCCGCCCTTCGCCTCCCAGATCCGAGAATAGGACATCCCCTTCCCCCCCACGTCATTCAGCCCGCGCCCTCCCCCACTCCCTCTAGCCCATCTCCCCCCCTCGCGGTGCCCGGATGTGGGAGGCCGCGGGCGGTGGCCTCGCGCACAATGAGCCCCAGCCGAGCTAGCAAAGGGGGAGATTGCACAACACTCAGAAGCGAAGCGGACTGGGGGAGGGGAATACCTCGGGCCGCCATGTGCTCGCTCCCTCGACCACCCGGCGGCATCTCCCCCCGCCATGGAACAATCCACATCCCGCCCGCCCCCGTCGCGAAATGGCGTCGCCCTCCCATACCTCAGGCCGCTCACCCCCGAAGGAAAGTGGACCTGCCCATCCGCAGTTTGCCAATTGCCCGGCTTGTGCGGCAAAATGGACCCGCCCGCCCGGCGCCGGGTGGGCTCCTGGTGCCTCACGCGGCCGCTCCTCGGGATTAGACTCAGTCCTGGCCGTCAAGAAAACCAGCACACTAAACGGCCGGTTTCTTCTCCCCCAACCCATATCTCAACGCGACGACGAGACTGGATCCGGGGACTCAGGGACCTCTGCCTTTGGCGAGTGGTACCACCAGAATCCTCCGGAATCCCGAGCGCGCGCTAGCCCTCCCTCCGGCAGTGAGACAACCGGACCTGCCGGCTCTGGGCCACGCACAGTTGCGATCGCCTCTGCCTTTCTTTCCCATGCTAGGTCGCGACCTCGTCTCGCCACGCAGCGCCGGGGCTTCGCGCACCGCACTGCGTCGAGTCGAGGTCCAACGAGCCTCACGTATTAGGCCACGAAAGCCGGGTTGTCCTTGCTCTCTGCCTAGGCCCGGGTGGTAGCGTCGGCCGTGATCTGCCCCCTCACTCCCCTAGGACGGACCCTCCCGGTTTGGTTTCCCCACAACCCTGGAGCGCCTAAGGCGGGGGACTTCAGTTTTCCCCGACAGGGCCCTCGGAAGAGAGCGGCTGAGTATGTAGCCACCACCTCTTGAAAAAGCGTTTCTTACCGAGAATCCTGACTCGCAGACATGATCCTTAGAAACTAGGGCGGAGTGCCCGCCCATCGACAACTTATAGAGCGCCCGACCCCGCCCCAGCCATCACATTGGCTTGGCTACCTCGGCTCCGCCCGCCGTCTTTCAGCGTCTCGGCGTGACGTCATCCCATAATCGCTCCGGCACGTGGCCTCCATTGGGTAACTCGAACGTCTATCGAGGTCAAGACCCGCCCCTCCACCTCATTGGCCAAGGGGCCCGCCTTTCTTGCCGGTACGGAAGTGACATAGGGGAGTCAGGCCTCGAGGCCTGGCAGCCATCTTGGGGCCCAGCGCCCCTACACGTGCGGAGGCGATCTTGCCTTGAGTCACGTGAACTCGTAGGCCCTATCACGCGAGGGGGGCGAGGTTTCAGCCTCCTGGGACTTCCGGGCTCCCGGGATTACCACCTACCCTTACCTCAGCTCCAGCTCTCCATTAGACCCCTATTTTATTTTCTCTACTGCAGCAGCGATCGGACACTGCCCCGTCAGGTTCCAAGTATACCAGGGATGGTGGAATCGGACTGGAGGGCTGCCTTGGCCAGAGGGAGGAGGAATGATGGATCAACCGGCATCTGGGCTTAAGAGCACTTGCGGTTGCTGTCGGGAATGCTGGCCGGCTCTTAGGTGTCCTGTTCCCCAAATTTAGCACTCTTTTTGAGTCTTGCCTACTTTCTCTCCTTACAGCTCTGCTTCTTCAGGATAGGGAGTTCTTTTGGGTAATGAAGAGGTGTTGGCACCATCTGAGCCAGGGATAAAAAGTTGGCCCCTGAGGTCTCCAAGACCCATCCATAAAAAGTAACTAATAGTACTGGCTGGAGCAGAGCCCAAGATGGGGCATATCCACTAATTTTAGGTCCCTTAAGGAAGACCACGACTATGTATCTCCAAAGGATCCTTTATTGACCAGAACAGGACCGTGGCATTTATATATATATATATAAAAAAAAGTTTGAAGATTTGGCAGGCAGTAACCCCTTTGCCCGCCCACCACCCCAGCACAGATTTTCCTCCCACCCCCCAACCTGCACATGGAAGGGAGCTAACTGCCCCCACCCAGGCCATAAGGCCATACTCCCCTGCAGTCAGAGGGTAAAAGGCGGCTTTTCCATGGCCACCCCCTGAACATTAGAAGTCAACAGGTATTTTCTCAAAAGAAAAAAAATACAGAAATCAAAACATTTAAATATGAAAAACCAAAGGGAACTGGGTGGGGTGAGGCAACAGAGAAAAGAAACTGGGAGTTTCTTGGGAAGGAAGGGTCTCTGTGTCCCCATGCCCATTAAGAATGGACTTGAGGCCTAGGATACGAGGCTCACACAGTGAGTTTGCAGTGACACAGCTCCTTGTAGATCTGCCGACGAAGTTTGGGCATGTCCTGCTGGGTGAAGCTGAACGGCTGAGACAGGGCCAGGTGCTTGCAGTACTGGGTGTTAACAAAGCAGGCCATGAGAACCACCTACTAAGCATCCCCATTAAGTCAGGACCTGTGTTACACATTTCCTATGAGACATCTCACAGGATCTTTCAGAGAACATCCCCATATCACAAACAAAAGGGAGTCAAGGTCCCACAGCCTGGGGGGGTCAAAAAAAAGTCTGACATTAAAGCCAGTGTTCTTACTTGGTGTATGAACTACCTAGTGTTAAGACAGAGAAAACACTTTGCACTGGGGTCTGGCAGACAACTATGTCAGAACCAGAGACCCAGTGTGGGATGGGAAAGCCAGGAGACCAGTGAAATCAGGGTTTCTGCATTCTAACACATGGTTACTCCTGGCTCCACAACTGGCTGTGAGCCAAATGAGGGAGGCAGAAGAGCCTCCTACCTTGCCCTCCTAACCCTTTAACCCAACTGACAATCTGCTTACCTGTAACACAAAGGCACCGCAGTCACTGTCATTATTCTGCCTGGCCACATTCTAGAGAATAAAAAGAAGGTAGGCCCTGGAGACTCCTGGGGGTGCAGCTTCACTTCTGCCTCTTACTTCTATCCCCAAAACCACCCTGCACACCTCTCCCTCTAGAGACTTACCATTTTGAAGTAACCTTTCCAGCCCTGGTGGAAATCCAGTCGGTCTTTCTTCACTGCTTCTGCCTGTAGATACTTGGC